AAATGTCTAAGGCTGCTATTATCCAAGCCCTACGGCGTCTCTGTTGACGAAACCAATGAGCAAGGCCAGACCTGGCTTCACCGTATCGGGGAAAAAACACTCGTTTCCATGGTCGAAATCTTGGTTGAAGCAGGGGTGCAGTTCGACATAAAAGACCGAGATGGTTACACGTCTCTTGCGGTAGCCATCAGCAAGGGCAACACTCTTGTTGCGAAGTACCTCATCGACCAGGGCGCCGATGTTAACATAACTTCCCGTAGTTTCCACACCATACTCAATATTGCCGTTATGAACGGCTCGTTGGATCACGTTAAGCTGCTCAGACATTCATGGGCGGACAACAAGAGTTTTACGATGCTGCGGATGGCACTGCGTATCCGGGACAACTTGAAATTGGTCGAGATGGTGAGATATCTGCTTGACGAAGCCAAGGTGACTATTGGTCAATACCTAATCATCCAGGCAGCGAAGATGACCATGGAAAATTATGAGACGGGAATTTGGGTGCTCAAATTCCTCATCCAGCACAAAGCTCCGTTAGATAACGAAGGCAATGAGGGCCGCCGTGCCGTGCACTTTGCATGTACGGCACCGGTTGATGAGGGGATCCGGGCTCTGGTCGAAGCAGGTGCGGAGATCAACGTGACAGACTATTTTCGCCGTAGGCCAATTCACTTTGCAGCGTCTTCGTCATCTCCCGACTGCATCAAGTATCTCTTGGATACATTTCAGAGCGCAGACATTGACACGGCGGATGCTGATGATTGGACTCCGCTCCTGTGGACGGCGCGGTCTGGAGCTAAGGAGACCATCGAACAACTAGTCGCGCGAGGAGCCGACGTATGGGCCAGGGGCCGCGTGTACAACCAGCGCAAGTGGGAGTGGTCGGCGCTGAAGCTGATGAACTACGCCGACAACCATACGTCGCTGAGGCCGCTACTTCGGCCTCAGATACGCGAAAGGGTCGACGAGAAGGGAAGGAAAGAGAAGTAGGATGGCGAGTTTCACAAATCCGTAATTGCAGATAAGAAAGACGTCCGGTGTAGAAGCTGCCTTGTCGTGAGCATACAACCTCGTCTAATTCTGGACAACAGGCGCAGAGACTGATCGAGCATTACAGTTAATTGTTGGCGCACAGTGGAGATGCTTTCATTGCGCAGAGGATTTCTCGCTCTGCTTCAAATGCCACAACAACGGAACTGAAGAGGGTCACCATGATTCGGACCATTATATGGCCACTGTCGGACGAGAATGTATACGAGATTCTGACTCCCGAAGTTATGTAGACATGTTAAAGGAACAGGACAGTGAATGAGGTTGAAGAGCACGCTGACAGAAGCCGGATCATGAGCTGCCAAGCCAAAATGACAGTAAAACATGTTAGTGACACCCTTGGGAGCTAACATTCAAGGACTACAGTTGTCAGTACATTCAACTTTGGCTTGCAATCAAAGCAAGCGCTGCAGAGTTTACTTGGCCCTCTCTGTATACTGCCAACTCGTTATTTTAAGAGGGGAAGGGACCGACGTGCCCCTTTTTCATTTTCTTTGCCTAACCAGGCGCAGTCAACTCCAAGCCAACCAAAAGTGGGTGCTCAATGGTCTCAGTTCTTCCCACCAAAGCCCAAATTGACTGAGGCGGACGTCCAACCTTAGGATCGCAAGGTCATCTTCACAGGCGGCGCATCCAAAAAATGCCCGTGTGTATATCGCCGGCCGTTCTGAAACGAAAGCCGAACAGGCTATCAAGGAAATACAGACGGCACTATCAACACTCATCACGGGAAGCCTTCATCTGTTATACCTAGAGCCCGACGACCTGAGCAGCATCAGAGCTACCGTGGAAGCTTTCGAAGCCAGGGAGTCAAAGTTACATGTCTTGTGGAATAACGCAGGCGCTTCACGGCCACCCGTAGGCAGCGTCTCGAAGCAGGGCATCGGCCACGAGACTAACGGGTGCTACGTCGTCTCGTGGAGCAGGATATCCAATGATATGAGCCAGGACTTGGCTGAGGCGACGAGGCGGGCAGGGGAGAGCGGCTGCTCGGGCAGGGCGGCGGGGGTTTGGGACTTTTGCGAGGAGACGACGCGGCAGTATCAATGAAGCCGGGCATGGGATGTTGATTTCTTGTGTTTGGGAGTTACAATGCCAGCTAGCAAGTCTTGTGATACACTTGTTCCTTTTCCCTTTGATATTGGTAGGAAGTAATATAATTAATTAGTTTTCTAGCCCAGCACGTAGACTGTGGCCTTAGAAAGTCTAATGCAGGCAAGTTTAGGCATTACGATAACAAGGTTCTGTCGAGACCTTGCACTTGATACTGATGATCACCGGAGAACTCCATCCTCGCATGTTCCGAGGTCACCGGGAACTCTATTCATATTCAGAATTAGTGTAACGGCAGGTCAAACGCACACAGACCAAGTTAGACGACCATCTAGACACCTCATGATGTACATATGCAACGACGAGATTCTGAAAGTTACGATCAAGAGTTGGGCTGGGTATGTCGTTCAGATGATTCATTACATCTACCAGACATAGGACGGAGAGAATATAAACCCTTCCGTAGTCTTGAAAGAAAAAGATAAGAATCCTCTCAAATCTATCTAGACTATCCGTCTGAGACTATTGGGTTATGCGGTCGGTAAATGGTTCCGAGCCAGCTCATTGGGTCTAGGGTCCCAGTAAACGATCACGCAACATTATCCCCGAGCACGTCAGCGTCACTTGCAGGGGAAATGGACCCGAGGCCGTGCAACCACGCTTTAGATAGCACGAAGGTAGGTCAGCGGCGTTGGCAAAATAGGTTGCGCTCGACATATCGCGCGTTTTACCGCTCCATCTCGTCTCATGCGATAGAAAACGGGCGATTCCTGCCTTCAATCCCGTCACTTACCTACCTACCTACAGATAGCGACATATTTAGAGCCGGCTCTCCTTTTTTTTTCATCTTCGGGATGGAGACGGAGAAGATCTTTTCAGACACTGCCCTAAAGACGGGCCGTGGCGACGAGGAGGCTGTTCCTATCGACGTGGACTCGTCCACGGTAGCGGACTGGACCGAAGAAGAGGAGCGCGCCGTCAAGCGGAAGTGAGGAAGATCCCACGAACACCTAACCATAACGCCTACGCGGAAGAGCTAACGAGATGCAGGATCGACTTCATCGTGCTGCCCATCCTAGGCCTGGCCTTCTTCGCCCTGCAGATGGACAGGGGGAACATCTCCAACGCGCTGACGAGCACCATCACGCAGGACCTCGGGGTCGACACGAACCAGATCAACGTCGGGAACAGTCTTCTGTCAGCCGGAATCGTCATCCTCGAGATTCCCTCGAACATCCTGCTCCAGCGCGTGGGGCCGCAGCGGTGGCTCTCCGGCCAGATCGTGGCCTGGGGCTTGGTCGCTCTCTTCCAGAACTTCGTCACCAACTACGGCGGCTTTCTCGCTACACGGCTTCTACTCGGACTGGTGCGTGTTGTTATAAACACTTCTTGTCTCCATCCAAAGTACTAAATTGTGTCTTCTGTAGTGTGAGGCGGGCTTCATCCCTGGCGCGCTTTATACGATGTCGACCTGGTATAAGAAGACCGAGTCGAGTTTGCGCATCTCCATATTCTTTCTCGGAAACCTCATCGCACTGGCTACGTCTTCATTAATTGGCGCCGGGATTCTTAGCATGGGAGATCGGTACGGAGTCGCCGGCTGGAGATGGCTTTTCATAGGTAGAGCTTCGTATATCCCTTCGTGTCAATTAAGTACGGTGGTTTAACTGATTTAATCCTTCCCCGTCGCAGTCGAGGGAACTATCACCGTGGGGATCGGCATCATCTTCATCTTATTCCTGCCACCGTCCGTCGGGAACGGATCCCCGCTCATCAGCTTCGGGCGCTGGTCGTACTTCAGCCGTCGGGAGTCGTACATCCTCGTGCGTCGCGTGCTGCTGGACGACCCGGCCAAGGTGACGAACCACCTGCGCATCTCGGGCGGCGACGTGTGGACGACGGTCAAGAACCCCAGGATCTTGGTGCACATGCTCATCACGCTGACGGCGACCGTTCCGGTGAACGCGATCAACACGTACGGGCCGAGCGTCATCAAGAGCCTGGGGTACGGCACGGTGCGGGCCAACGCGATGGCCAGCGTCGGCCCCTTCGTCTCTGCGCTCATGGTCGTCGTCCTGGGCTGGCTGTGCGACGCCGCGAAGCTGCGCACCCCTTCGCTGCTGTTCGCCGCCGTCTGGAGCCTCATCGCGTTTGCCTGCCTGAGAGAGGCGTGGAAGTGGAGCGCCGGCAGGAAGTACGCAGCCGTCGTGTTCTCCATGGCTGTGAACTCTACCATCCACATCATCAACATCGGCTGGCTATCGGCCAATTGCCAGCAGCCTCAGGAACGGAGTATCGCTATGGCGTAGGCCATCCCCACTTCCTTTCCCCTGTCCATCACAGTTAGACCTCTTACTGACATTCGATGCCTAGAATGATCATCATGGGCGCTAACGCCGCTGGGATCGCCGGGAGCCAGGTGTTCCGAACGCAAGATGCCCCCCTATACATGAATGCGTTTACGGGTTGCTTGGTACTTTCCGCCGCAGTCGTAGTGGAAATCCTGGGGCAAGCCGCTTGGTATTATCTCAGCAATAGGAAACTCAATAAGCAAGAGGAGAGTCCTGTAGTGACAGGCACTACGGATGAGACGTCTGATGGACATAAGGTCGCGTTGGTCAGGAAATGGCGATGGGCACTGTAGTGATCTTGAGTATCTACTAGTAAATAACAGCTAAACGGAGGTAATCCAACAGTCGCCATTGGAATTTTCTGAGGCCTGAGGTTACGAACGAATTGTTAAGACGGGATTCTTGTGGTCTTTCTTGGCGTTGACCTGAATTGCTATTTCGTATATGAGAAGTATGTAGCTATCGGGGACTGATATTAAAAGAGTTATAATGATTTTTCCCATCATTGAGCGCCGAACTAGAACAACGATGTTAGCATCGATGGGGCTTGTGGTTTAGTGGTATAATACTCCCTTAGCACTGAACGATGCTTGCACGTCGCCAATGTCGTCTGAAGCCTGGGAGTGGTCCGGGGTTCGATTCCCCGCGAGTCCAACGACTGGAGGTTAGATTCCTCCTATACCCAAATTTTGGTGTTTGAGGTGTTTTTTTTCTTTTCCTTGACAATATTAGATAGGTGGTTAAGAAGACCTCTGATCTTCTCGGCTTCGATTTCGTATTCTAGTTCGCGCTATTGGAGAGATAGATCCCGCGGATCTAACCGTGAAGCAGAAGTAAGCTCACTTGAAACGCAGGCAAAAGATATCACCGTCGTAATAAGTTCGTATTCGCGTTTTCTTATTCTTACTCGGTGGGTAAGGGGGGTTTCCAAGTTTACTGATTCACATGAAAACGAAGCATTCGCGGTGAGTCTCAAGCCTCAGCTTGCTGAGCCACATATATTGTATTAGCCGTGATGCTATGCGTGGCTTGTCGGGTTCGTATTCGCATTCAGCAGGAATTTGTCACGGGCTGCGACGCTATTGACAGCCTATAGGAATAAAAGACGTGAAGCCGCTGTCTCCTCCCATGTTTAATCCAAGTTCGGCGCAACCCTGCTGGACGGAGCTCATTTGGGCTTAGGCCTAATTCCGCGGTGAAATTGGCTTCAGAGATTGGTCCCTGAATTGGCAGGCCACACCCCTGCAATCCATTGTCGATAACCGACCGCTAGAAAAATTAACAATAAATATTGTCCACGTCCCCCTTATTCTCGTCCAGTTTCGCATCGCAGCACCTCGCCAATTGTTGATTCGAGTGTACGATTTCCGACTCTTGTACCTTTGACGAGCGCTTCCCTCCCCTGATTTTATACCCATACTACACTGCAATTTGTCCAAGACGCTCGCCATGTCTCCCTCAAAGATCGAGCTCGAGCAGCAGGACAAGGCCCGCGATGCCGCCTTCAACACGGCCATGCACGGCAAGACCGCCCAGTCGACTGGTGGATTCCGGGCTATGGTGGGCAAAGGTGGCAGCGCGCAGAAGGCCGCTGTCGACGAGTACTTCAAGCACTGGGACAACAAGGATGCCAAGGACGAGACTGAGGCGGACCGCGCAAAGCGAACAGCCGAATACGCCACCCTTACCAGACAGTACGTTGCGGTCTTAGCCAGTTCCTCACCATACGCCCTTCGCTTTTTGCTAATACCGTCCATAGTTACTACAACCTCGCCACGGACCTGTACGAGTATGGCTGGGGCCAGTCTTTCCACTTCTGCCGATACTCGATTGGAGAGACCTTCTACCAAGCTATTTCCCGACACGAACACTACCTCGCACACCAGATTGGCATCAAGGAGAACATGAAGGTGCTGGATGTCGGCTGTGGAGTCGGCGGCCCTGCTCGGGAGATTGCCAAGTTCACCGGCTGCCATGTTACCGGACTAAACAACAACGACTACCAAATCCAACGTGCCACGCACTACGCCGCGGCCGAGGGTCTCTCGAAACAACTGGCGTTTGTGAAGGGTGATTTCATGGTGAGTCGGCACACATCCAAGTCTTGATATGCCTACAGTTGGCTTACCCTATCCTAAATAGCAAATGGACTTCCCCGACAACAGCTTCGATGCCGTTTACGCCATCGAGGCCACGGTGCACGCCCCCAAGCTCTCGGGTGTCTACAGCGAAATCCTCCGCGTTCTGAAGCCGGGTGGCGTCTTTGGCGTGTACGAATGGCTCATGACGGATGATTACGACAACGACAACATCGAGCACCGCGAGATCCGACTTGGTATCGAGCAGGGCGATGGTATTTCAAACATGGTCAGGGTCGAGGAAGGCCTCGAAGCCATGAAGATCGCAGGCTTCGATCTTCTACACCACGAGGATCTCGCTGACCGGCCCGACCCGATCCCGTGGTACTGGCCTCTTGCCGGCAACTGGAAGTACATGCAGTCAATGTTCGACATCCCTACCATCGCAAGAATGACGTGGTGGGGCCGACTTCTCGCCCACAACTTCGCGGGCGCCCTGGAGATGGTGGGGGTGGCGCCGAAGGGCACCAAGAAGACGGCAGACAGTCTAGGCCGCGCAGCTGACTGCCTGGTCGCCGGTGGGCAGAAGCATCTCTTCACGCCGATGTACCTGATGGTCGGCAAGAAGCCCGAGCAGTAAGCAGGATTGCTGCTTTCGAATGGCGCCCCCTATTTGGGAGCCATCTGTGCTTATACGCACAGTAATGAGTAAAAGAATCCACGTCAACATCCGCCTAATAATCCTAATATGATAACAGAGCAGAAGACTTCCTTCATCGAGAATCTAGATTTCTGAGGCTCGGATGTTGGGTCAGTGATCTTCAACTTCTGTACATAGACTTTGCTGAGGACCAGCGCTTTGCTACCACTATCAAAATAGAATAATGTCAGAATATTCCTTGAGCCTCAAATCCACCGGGCAATTGCGTAAGCAGGCCCCTTATGGACCATCGACCGGGCAAGAATTGCTCTGTGACTTATTCCAAACCTGATGATACGTAGGGCATGAGAAGACCAGTATTTTCGTAGTATACCCCTCACGCATTTCTTAGTCGACACAAGCAGCTTGAATCGGTTGTCGAAGAAACGCAAGAGACTGTTCCGGATTCCCCAGTTGACTTCCGTGTAGGATCCTTTTCATGAGGTGAGATTACTGTAAGACGCTCCCAACCTCATCAGAAAGAATAAGTCACAATTAGATAGACAGCATCACGCCGTGAAAGGGCTGTTAGAATGAAACAAGAAAGTAATTCCATTCGACTCAGTTTATATCTCGCTGTCGAAGGGCAGCAGTGGCTAAGGATATATAAGGGTGCAAGGGGACTGGAGATTCCAAGACTCCGATGGGTCGGAATAATAGCAACGACTAATCCTAATTCGGCCTAGCGGCTTATCTCACCCTCAACAAGCTCCTCCTGTTCTGTCCGAGAAAAAAAAAAGTTGGGAAACGCGAAACTCCCAAGAAAAGGGCCGTCCGGAGAAAATCGCTCTCTCAGCTTCTCATATTTATCATCACCCTGACCGTCACCCAACGACAACCACGCCAATTCCTTGTCGGCTGGGAGCTCGGACTTGACTAGACTGCATCATCCTCTCCTAATATACAATTTCCTCTCCTTCTTCCGTCCTCATTATGTCGCGCTACTTGCGTCCGGCAGCTCGATTAGCTGCGTCCGCACGCACCGTCGCCGCTCCCCGACCTCTTACTCGGTTGTCCCCCGCCTCGCTGGCCGTCTCGCAAAGGAGGACGTTCGCCGACGTCAAGGGAAGCAAGGAATACACCGTCCGCGATGCCCTCAACGAAGCAATGACAGAGGAGCTCGAGGCCAACGATAAGGTCTTCATTCTCGGTGAGGAGGTTGCTCAGTACAACGGCGCATACAAGGTCACGAAAGGCTTGCTAGATCGATTCGGCGACAAGAGAGTTATTGATACCCCGATTACGGAAAGCGGATTTTGCGGTCTGGCCGTCGGTTCTGCCTTGAGCGGACTGGCTCCCATTGTAAGTCAAGCGCACGTGGCTTCCGCGAAGGGGGGCCAGAAGCGATGCAATGCGAGAACAAACAATTCGAGGATGAGCAATAACTAATCGGCTGTATCCTCTAGTGCGAGTTCATGACCTTCAACTTCGCCATGCAGGCTATCGACCAAATCGTCAACAGCGCCGCCAAGACGCTCTATATGTCCGGTGGTATCCAGCCTTGCAACATCACGTTCCGCGGCCCCAACGGTTTCGCTTCCGGCGTCGCCGCCCAGCACTCGCAGGACTACAGCGCTTGGTATGGCTCGATCCCCGGTCTCAAGGTCGTCTCACCCTGGTCTGCCGAAGATGCCAAGGGTCTGCTGAAGGCCGCCATCCGCGACCCGAACCCCGTCGTCGTGCTAGAGAACGAGCTTATGTACGGTGTTTCTTTCCCCATGTCGGAGGCTGCGCAAAAGGATGACTTCGTTGTACCCTTTGGAAAGGCCAAGATCGAGCGCCAGGGCAAGGACTTGACCATCGTCTCGCTCTCCCGTACCGTCGGTCAATGCATGGTTGCCGCCGAGGGTCTGAAGAAGAAGTACGGTATCGAGGCCGAAGTTATTAACCTGCGATCGGTGAAGCCCCTTGACGTGGAGACCATTGTCAAGTCGGTCAAGAAGACGCACCGGCTGATCTCTGTCGAGTCCGGATTCCCGTTCGCCGGCATGGGCGCCGAGATTCTGGCCACGACTATGGAATACGCTTTCGACTACCTAGACACTCCGGCGCAGCGAATCACGGGCGCCGAGGTGCCTACGCCGTACGCTCAGGGGCTCGAACAGATGAGCTTCCCGACCGAGCAGCTGATCGAGAACTTTGCGGCCAAGGTGCTCCGTGTATAACGGGGGGTGGAAACAATACAATACAATAGACTTGGGAGTTCAAGGAATGATGTGCAAATGTACAATATTAAACGTTTACTACTTGGTCAAACTGCGTTGGGTGTCTCGAAGGCCGGATTCGTCTGCTCTGACAGACTTGACTTTAGCATGGCTCGCCCACGTGCTGTCGCTGCGCAATGTCCGAGACCGTCACCATGATAGACCCCCTAATAGACTCTAGGAATGATGTACTGTAATGCATGGCAATGTTGGTCGAAAGTCAGGTTCCCCCGCGTAGACAACTCAGAGCATCCAAACTAGAGCCAATGATCAGCAGCCGAGTGCAACCTTGTTATCCAAGATGTCCGAAATTGGAGACTCAACTAACTGAACATGCCTCCATACAGTTTACTTGCGTGCGCCTCCTGCGTTTTGCTCGGACCGGACTCTCGGGACGATCCGACCATATGCTTAGGAATATGCCAACGACCAAAGGATATGACTAACGGCTGAGTACTACCCAATCACTGCTCCATTGAGGTGCCGTCAAATGACTACGCAGAAGCCAACCGGAGCTGGCAGTTGGACTACCCCGGCAGGCTGTTGGGCGAGAGTACAGCAGCAGCAAAGCAGCACTCAGCTAACATGTGTGGCCGGGCCGAAGCGATGACATAGCATTGGTACCTATATATGCCTGATATGTATTATATATATAAACTGTGCCCCAGGTAG